ATTAAAAAATATCACATATTTTAAGAGAAAAGGTTAATATTGTTTCTAATAACTATCATGGTGATGTTATTACACATATTTTGACTAGGCTATCTAAAACTATTGGAAAAGAAACTGTGGCTAATAAATACGAATCGAAACACCTGTTCCATCCGCAGTGTTGAAATCATTGCCAAAAACGTTCAATTGTGGTCGTCGACCAATGGCTACCTGACAAATAAAAGCCACCAACTGGCTTGGAGGACCCACAGGATCCTCGCCTATTTGACCAGATTCGTGAGCTCCTACAGGTGAGAAATACCGGAGGGCTACTGCTGTTAGGTCCTGCAAACAGAGTACAAAGATATTATTTTGTAAAGATAGTTTTAACAGTATAGCAACACAAAATGGCGTGCAATAAATGCAAATTATACTGTATTGAAATGACTAGGGTTATAATAATCGTGTATCGTAAGTTACCTCAAATGTACAAACATTCGATAGCTCTTAAGTATAAAGTAAAGATGGGTTGTATTAAGATGGATTTTGTGCCTTGCTTAAATTTCTTACTTTTACCCCAAATTACTTATACTCAGAATCCGCTGTGAGGTTCAAAAGCCCCTCCGATGTATCGACCAAGCTCCTCCATTACCCACAGTTACTTCTATAGACACACCAATGGGTGTTTGTACTCAAAAAGAAACTCCGTTAGGAAACCGGTCCGTGGTACCCGAACATGTGTGCTACGTTTGAAGCCCAGCTTGTAAGTGAGGGGGACTAGAACCAAAAAATTGGATGCTATATACTGGTTTAGCGACCCTGAAAACCTACTATTATACTCCTATCATTTAAGCCCCATTGGTAGATCATATAGACAAGGACAACCCTCGTACCACCCCGAGTCCGCATGCCAAGGTGGATCTTGCTAGCTCCAAAACTGTAGATAGGAGGAGTTCGCAGACGAATAATCAAAATGAAACATATAGGATCATTTCAAAACTGAAATAATCAGCTCTTACATATGTTCCAATATTTTTCGGAAAACTACATTTTTTTTGTTCTGAAATAGTTCCTCTTCCCTCTAGGACTTTAGTTATCATCTTATAAAACATGTTTAGGTTGTTATCAATCCAAATATGGCATCCTTTCATAATTAGGGTATACAGATTGTACAAAGTTTGTCACTTGCCACAAAACTGACGAATGATTGTAACTACAATAAACAGTTCAAAAACAGAACTTGTAAATAATTTCTAGATTATTTTCACGTGCCATGAGGCAACACATGAAAATTATTTATACATACCTTATTTGCCACACACGTGTCTTTCAAAATTTCTTCGCAGAAATACTTCGTCTTCGCATATGGATTAGTGCATGATTTTCCCACTGGATGTCGCTCATCAATTGGAATATACTCAATGTTTCCATACACAAGCGACGAGCTTGAGTATATGATCTTCGTAACATTAAACTCTTTCATAACCTAAATGACAAGTTATAAATTATCATTTTATAAGTTAGTATGATTACAGGAAATATCTTGAGTATATGATCTTCGTAACATTAAACTCTTTCATAACCTAAATGACAAGTTATAAATTATCATTTTATAAGTTAGTATGATTACAGGAAATATCTTTTTACTTAAATTTCAGGTATTAAATGCCTTTTAATGATCTGATAGGAAGTGCAACCTGATGTTAGCAGAAAAACAACAACAACAACAAACTCCCCACAGATGACTCTTTTCCTTTGTCAAAACGGTATAAGACTAGAAGATTTTTCGATACATTATAATAAACAAATTGTAACAGAAACGTTTGATTTTATTAATATCCACATATTTACAAGAAAAAATATAGTTTATTTTTTATTTTGCGTTTCTCTTATATAATAATAAATATTTCATTGTTTACGATTTTAGATATCTGTCAAAATACTTTCTCTTAAAGTACAGGTAAGTATTAAGAAATTACACTCATACATATTCGAGTTCCACTCGCTAAAAAGTGAGTTTAAACGCGTTTTCACGCCTAAATTCGCGCGTCTCCCATTTATTTTTTGGTTGCGTTCTATACTTTAGGCTTGGTTAAACGCTATTTATTGTAGGGATTGAACCATGTGAGTTTATGTAATTCCTACTAGATTCGAACATGTCATTACTTTGTTAAATTAACACCTTGTAAAGATTATTAGCCGCTGCACAAATGTATGTTGAGCTGTTTAAACGTAGTTAGAAATTCAACCGCAACGTTATTTCGATCCTTCTACAAGTGGGTGAGAATTGGTATATAGTATTCTGCATGATGAAGAGACAAGATCGTAGTTGTTGCAAATTTTTATTGACGAGTCATTACTTTACGAATTGTGCCATAAAAACTACGCGAATAATTTGTGAAAGACGAGTCTGATTGATCAGCCACAATTTGTGAAAGACAAGTCTGATTGATCAGCCATCAGAAAAGTGATAAATCTTTGAGGTTACCTAAAGAACTAAGAATCTATAAATTCTATATATAACTTACATAACTCAACCATGTAATAACTTATATAACTCAACCATGTAATAACTTACATAACTCAACCATGTAATAACTTACATAACTCAACCATGTAATAACTTACATAACTCAATCATGTAATAACTTACATAACTCAATCATGTAATAACTTACATAACTCAACCATGTAATAACTTACATAACTCAATCATGTAATACCTTACATAACTCAATCATGTAATAACTTACATAACTCAATCATGTAATAACTTACATAACTCAACCATGTAATAACTTACATAACTCAACCATGTAATAACTTACATAACACAACCACGTAATAACTTACATAACACAACCATGTAATAACTTACATAACTCAACCATGTAATAACTTACATAACACAACCATGTAATGACTTACATAACACAATCATGTAATGACTTACATAACTCAACCATGTAATGACTTACATAACACAACCATGTAATGACTTACATAACTCAACCATGTAATAACTTACATAACTCAACCATGTAATGACTTACATAACTCAACCATGTAATAACTTATATAACTCAACCATGTAATAACTTACATAACTCAACCATGTAATAACTTATATAACTCAACCATGTAATAACTTATATAACTCAACCATGTAATAACTTATATAACTCAACCATGTAATAACTTACATAACTCAACCATGTAATAACTTACATAACTCAACCATGTAATGACTTACATAACTCAACCATACAGTTTTATATGAAAATGAGGACTATCTGCTGTATTGCATATCATGTAATGTAATCCACAACTTACAACTTATCTTTATTATTACAGTTTCCCAAATTCATAATTTAATATTTTAGTTTATTTACGTCTTTCCATATAACACACACACATTAAACCTTTTTTTTTAAATTTTATTTACACGTAGACGAAACGCTTTGAATAAAGGCCCGGCATGACCAGGTGGTTAGGGCACTAGACTCGCAATCTGAGGGTCGCGGGTTCGAATCCCCGTCCCACCAAACATGCTTGCTCTTTCAGCGGGGGGGGCATTATAATGTGAAGGTCAATCCCACTATTCGTTGGTAAAAGAGTAGCCCAAGAGTAGGCGGTGGGTGGTGATGACTAGTTGCCTTCCCTCTAGTCTTACACTGCTAAATTAGGGACGGCTAGCGCAGATAGCACTCGTGTAGCTTTGCGCGGAATTCGAAACAAAAAAACTTTGAATAAAATTTAACGTTTTAAAATTATGCAGAAACTGATTTAATTTCTGACGAAGATGCACACTGCCACAACACATATAACTGTATCCAGTGTTCTGTTTCCTTACGCTAATTTAATAATGGATAGACACTGTAAATATTTCAATTAGTGTAGTTTGGTTACCTAGTTACCGTCTACGATGCTTCAGCTACTTTTGATCTAAGCAGAGCGAAATCTCAAGTATTTCATGTAATTAAACCTAAACACGTGTATACAGTAACCTGTAGTGATATAAATAAAGTGGGGGGAGGGGAGGGTTACAGTCACTGCACAAGCGTGTGCTAACAGCTGCGAAACGAAAACACGTATTGTATATAGTTGTTATGAACACGTGTTTTGTGTGTGTAGGCCTAGTTTCTTGAAGGATAATAAAGTTAATACTAGGATATTACTTTCAAATTCATAACTTCTCGATTTTCAAATTACTCAATGAACCTGCTTAATTAATGTTATTAAGTAATAAAATTATGAATTCATTATCCAACGATGCAGAAATATGTAAGATAAATTTTGCAAGATAAAGTAAGGTTCTTACTTAAAGAATATTCCAATTGATAATTCTTTCAAAGTTTTTAAGTTGCTTAAGCAATCTGCTAAAAGTACGTTATGAAATATGATAAAATTATGAATTTAATATTCTGACGTAACGAAAACAGCTTGCTGTACGTATAGCAATTGGTCCAGAAAATCTGGACTGATAAATTATTAGAAATGATACAAACATCGACATAAACAAGCAAATTAAATCATCGAAAAGCTACTAAAGAGAGTCTTACCTCCAACAGGGTCAACAAAGATCCAATATTGTTACAATGATACTCCAGGGGGATATCAACTGATTCACCCATTTTTTTCAGGGCAGCCACGTGGATTACGCAATCAGGTTTATGCTGAGAACAAAGTGTGAAGTTTGACATTTCATAATGAATGAGAAATTTTGTAGAAAATGCTATTTAGCGATTGCTCGCAATATTTGCTTAGGCGATATTAATGTCTCACAGACTTTACGATGAAATAAAATTGAATTGTTTAATGGGGAAATTACAACAGTTCAAATTATACGATAAATGACGTTTGTGCACTATGCTTATATCGGTTCTAATAATACACGGAGCTAAACCTATGTGGTGTAACTTTGATACAACTATTCAAAGCTATGTTTTCATTATAAATCACAACAACAAATATAAACCAAAACAGGAAATTTAAAATATCTTTAGCAATCATATAGCTGGGTCACTAAAGTAAATTTTTTAATGTTATCACAAAGAAATAGTAACATTAGAACCGTTTGCCATGTTATATTGAAACAATATTCAACAAAGAAATAACAACATTAGAACAGTTTACGATGTTATTTTGAAACAATATTCCACAAAGAAATAATAACATTAGAACCTTTTACTATATTATATTGAAACAATATTCCACAAAGAAATAATGACATTAGAACCGTTTACTATGTTATATTTAAACAATATTCCACAAAGAAATAATAACATTATAACCGTTTGCCATGTTATATTGAAACAATATTCAACAAAGAAATAACAACATTAGAACAGTTTACGATGTTATTTTGAAACAATATTATCACAAATAAATAATAACATTAGAACCGTTTACTATGTTATATTGAAACAATATTATCACAAATAAATAATAACATTAGAACCGTTTACTATGTTATATTGAAACAATATTACCACAAATAAATAATAACATTAGAATCGTTTACTATGTTATATTGAAACAATATTATCACAAATAAATAATAACATTAGAACCGTTTACTATGTTATATTGAAACAATATTTCACAAAGAAATAATAACATTAGAATCGTTTACTATGTTATATTGAAACAATATTATCACAAATAAATAATAACATTAGAACCGTTTACTATGTTATATTGAAACAATATTTCACAAAGAAATAATAACATTAGAATCGTTTACTATGTTAT